GAGGGGCGTCGGCGTCATGCGGCGCCGAGCCTCACTGACAGCAGCACTCTGACCCAACCATGGTGGATGGATGGATGGAGACAGTCGTGCATCTCTCGAAAGCAGTGCAGTGGTCTTGGTGTGTTCAATGTCCATGCCACACAAGTTGACTGTATCGTCAGATCTTCTTTGTGGTCCGCGTGTCAGGCCGCCTGACCCCGCGGGAATGCTGGTGGGAAGACTGCGCATTCGCGGCACACAGTCCATACGCCGACATCTCCGAGGTGGGACACGGACAGTCAGTCTCATGAATGACACACTGGGAGTATTGCTCACTCACGAGTCATTTCATTGTCACGGCTGCCGTTCAAACAGAAAAACACCTTGAATCCCATCTCATCTCACCTCGTGCCCTCTCGCAACACATCACGCTTGTTGAGTCCTGTTCCCCTCCCCCCCTCTCCACAGCCCCATCAGCACCGTCCCCTCCCTCTCCCGCCCTCCCCCCGGCCGACACTCGTCGCCCACAGCCCACTTCTCCTCTTTCCCCTCATAAGGCAGCTTCTCGGGACAGCACTCGTCCTTGTCCTTCGTCCGCCCCTCCACCGTGCACACAATCTCCAGGCAGTCCCGCCAGCATGATGGGTTTAGGTAGTACGTCGCGGCCTCTTTATCTGACCTGACGCAGTCTCTCTGCGAGAGGACGCCGAACGACGTTTCGAGCACTGCGTCGCCGTATGTGGCCAGGGGGTCGGAGAGGACATCGCAGAGGTGAAAGGGGGCGAGGTATGCGAACCTGTCAGGGGCCACAGACAGGCGAGCCTCACCGTAGGTCTTGCAGGCGCCCCGGTGCTCCTGCAGCAGACACACGATGAACAAACACTGCAGCTCACGACGATGCACCCAAACGCATCTGAGTGCATGGCTCACCCACGATGGATAGCACTGCCCCGCGTCAAAGTAGGCGGTCATCCACTCCTCTCTGTATTGAGTGCCGTTGAAGAGTCGCTGCCGCCAGTTGTTGTTGAAGCACCAGAGGCAGAGGCCTGAGTGCCGCTCGCACTCGTCTCGTGTGGCCTGCTTGGGGCAGACGTATTTGCTCCGCACCTCGTGCACCAGCCCCATGGGCGAGAGAGGCAGCCGGGCAGCCCCACATGGCCTCAGCAGCAAAGACACTGACGAAAGGAAGAACGCCATCGCGCCGAGCGAGGGAAGTGACACTGTCAGCATTGTCCCTCCCAGGCAATCTTGAAGGCCGCCGATGAATCTGTCTGCACAGATAGGTGCCGTGCATTGCTGCTGTGTGTCTTTGAAGCCATCTATGATGCACATCATCGTTGCGTACCACTGTGAGTGTGAATCAACGGGACGGGCGAAGATGAATGATCTTGAAAGATCAGAGCAGGACGATGGATGCATGGACACTGGGGAGTCAAGTTCCCAGGAAGCAGCAGCGGTTCACCCACGGAGGACTGCGAGCTTTTGACTGCGACATTTTTGAGCTCGCAGCACTTCTCCCCTCGAATGTCGCTGAAGACGGACGCTCTGCCGCAGGTGAGTGGGGAGGAATGACACACATCACATATACACGCAGGAAGAAAGACGGGAAGAAAGATGGATACAGATCTTGATCTTCCCCACACGTGGGTGTGTGATGCCCCTTGCAGCACTTCCCCCACTTCGCAGCCTGGTACGGCCAGACGCCGTCGTTTCTGTCATGGGCGGACCCTTTAGCGCCGCTGCCTTCCTGCATGGACGAGTGGCGGACGTGGTACTACGGCATCGGGAGCGCTCTGCACGTTTGGCGCATGAAGCATGCCAACACTGACCTGCGGCAGGTGGTGGCTGAGTCGACCGAGCAGCTGATGCTGTGCATCAAGATGAGAAACATGTCGGCACACGAGCGGCCCATGGCCATGCGCGAGAGGCACGTCCTGCGGTTCCCGAAGGTCAACGACGTGTGGACCTACAGGCAGCCGCCCCCCATGCCCGCACAAGTGCTCATGTGATCTGATGGCTCCCAAGAGAAAAGGGAAGAAATCGATTGCGGCTTCGTCAGCCTCATCGGCATCAGCTGCAACAGTCACTTCTATCATTACGAGGGAGGACCTTGAGCGCGCTATGTCGACTGTCGAGGCCTTCCAGACGGTGCGTGGGGTCTTGTCGCGCTTCCTGCAGGCCGTCACCATACTCGTAGACAAACTGCGGCTCCACCACTCGTCAACACCTGACAATAACGCCGTGCTGCCGGCCGTCCTGTCGGTGCCCGGTGCGCACGAGCAGTTTGTGGCCATCAACGTCACCAAGATCCACCACATCCTTGACGATATGCTCGAGCAGCTCAGGCGCTTTTCCAAGCAGCACCCACATGACAAGTTCCAGCGACTGGCCGAGCGAATCGAGACAACGGCGAACCGGGCGCTGCTGTTGGGCACTGGTGCCGCCCCATTGTCGGATGATACTGTGGCCGGTGACCCCTGTGTGCTGCTGCGTGTGTCGCGAGCGGCGTTTGGTGTACTGGATGTGTGTGAGGGGGCAAATGAGGCCATCAGCAGCATCCGTGCCGGCCTGCCGAGCGACCTGGGCGCTGTTGATGCGGCGAATGGTCGACTGAGCGGGTTAATTGGCGAGGGGGGACAGCAGGACAGGATAGTCGATGAGGCCAGGAAGGCTTTGATGGGGGAGAAGGAGCGGACGGCAGGCACACAAGGGTAGAGAGAGAGCGATGCACACGAGTGGGTTAGGGCAGACGGGGGAAAAGGGCGAGGTCGTCCAAAAGCCCTGAATTGATAAGTCAGCGCTTGCGAACCTATCTTTCTGCCCGTCGAAGATGATTCAAGCCAACAAGGCGAACTTGGTGACAGATCTGTCCCTCCGGACGCTCGACATCCGTCAGTACGAGATGGACTACTGGATGGGCGTCTTCAACAAGCTGGGCACCATCGCCTCCACCCTGGGCGGCTTCGCATCCACCAACATGCTCATCGACACCGGCTTCGAGGGCAAGCGCCGCAACCAGCTCCTGTTGCTGTCCTACATTCTGGCGGCCGGCAGTGCGCTGGGCTTCAACCTGGTGCTGTTTACCATCTCGACGCTCGTCGGTATCTGGGCGCCCGGCAAGGCGCTGCGCGGAGAGGGGCACGAGAGCATGGAAGAGGTGAGTGAGTATCAGACAGAGGGTGGGAGGGAGGGAGGGAGATTCACTCAGTGCTCTTTTGGTCTTGTACTACGTTCCTTCCTGGTGGGTGCAGGCGATTCGGATCATGGAGGACCTGTTTGATCGGAGTCTGTTCTTCTTCCTGGCGGGTCTGCTGTCTTACTTCCTCTCGTCCATCCTGGCGGTCTTCTGGCTGTTCGATTCCGCCGGGGCCTTCATCATCTTCGCCGGTCTGGTGGGCTTCCTGCTCGTCATGGGCCGGCAGCTCGTCAAGATCTACCAGGCCTTCGTGCCTTCGTCATTCCGCCACGGCGGCCTCAAGGGCAACCCCGCACCCAACATCGGCCAAACTATGAACCCACAAGACCCGAGGCTGCGCGGCCAGCAGTTCCAGGCGTCGTTTGTCGAGGCGCTGTGATTGCAGCGGGTGGGTGGGGCCGTGCCGCTGTTGGTAGAAGACAGAAGAGAACAAGATAATAGGAGAGTGTGTGTATTGTACAGTGGGGCGCATCGCATGGGTGGCGGGAGAGATGCATGGCTCGTGATACAGACGAGATGAGATATGTGGCTGGAGGGTGGATGGATGGGCAGAGGGATTGTGTGAACCGCGCTCGACGAGGCGCCGGGGATGTGTCTTATCTACATCTGTGAGGGGCGTGTGTGCAATTGATTGCTCAGAGGGAGGGAGAGGGGTCGAGCCAGATCTGACACGAACGAGAAGAGTCACGTATCTGCGCATCCTTTGTGTCGTGTCTGTCATCCTGTTGCTGCGCCCATGTCGGTCTATGGACTGTGTCGGTTGAGAGCACAGTCTTCACACCGGCGTGGGTGCGGTGGCAGGCAGGCAGACAGACAGACTGACCGACCGACCGACCGACCGTGCATGCCTTGAGTACTACCACACGCAACGCTTAAAGCCTACACAGACACAACTCGGGACCCTCACCCTAAGGCTTCCGTTTACAACTCTCTCTTTTCTCTTCATGTCGCCTTTCTCTTCACGATGAGTCAACTACGGTGGCTATCCGTCCTTATCTCATGCAGATCTCTTGTTTGTGGGGGCCAGACACCGTTTTCGAACGGTTCCCATCCCTCCCCACCGATATGGCACCAGCGAGATGCCGTCAGGAGGAGAACGAGGAGCCTCCAATTCATGGACCCGATGAGCGAGGTGGAGTACAGACGAAACTGGAAGCCCTGCGCCAAGTGCCTCATCAAGACGCCCGAGGAGATGCCGGGCATGGAGAAACTCTACTGGAACCTGAAGGAGCTCTTCGTGACGCACTCTGCTCTGATCTCTCCTGTCTATTACGCCTTCCCAAAGGACACTGACGAAGTGGCTGAAGTGGTCAAGGTGAGGAGAGCGGGGATGAGCCGCCCATCCACGGCAGGGACGGTCCCTTTGCTTTGTGCGTTTCCTGCTGCTTTCAGAAAGTCCACCAGGCGCGTGGGGTGGTTCGTGTGCGGTCTGGTGGCCTCTCCTACGGGCCCTACTCAGCCTGCAGGAGAGGGGACATCCACTACCTCTTTCCCTTCACCCCGTGTGTCGTTATGGACCTCACACGCATCAACCACACACAATTCAGGCCGCCAGACCGAGGCCTTCATGAGATTACCATTGGCGGCGGGGCGCTGATGGAGCAGCTACTGCAGCCATTCATCTCCCGCAAGATCGCCATCCCATTCGGCGGAAGTGGAAAGGTGGGCGTTGCCGCCTATATCATGGGCGGTGGCCTGGGGTTCATGAGCAGGGAGCTGGGGCTGCTGAGCGACCTGGTGTTCAGGATGACTGTGGTGTTGGCCGACGGTAGTGTGATGGAGGGGGTCAGCAAGGAGGAAGAGTCCGATCTCTTCTGGGCATTACGTGGGGGAGGCGGGGGCAACCTCGCCGTGGTCACGGAGATCACTCTCCACCTGCCTGCAAACTTTGCCGTGTGAGCGAGCCGAGCGAGAGACGCATAGATGCGCGACGATCTGTTGTTTTGGTCAGGTCGGCTTGTGAGGCGGGCTCACGTGTGTATGAGATGAAGTATGCCGAGCAGGCCTACCAATTCTGGTTCGACAAGGCCATCGACACGGCAGACACCGAGAAATGGAACCTACAGTTTGTGCTCACCCCCGAAGAAGGTACGCAGACGCACACACCCACGTCATGCTGTCGTCGTCTCCTGCATGTCACGTGTCGCACTTCATCACACTCAGCTCGCATTAACTACGTGCTCGATCGAGACGCAGACATCGCCTTCAACGACACGGAAATCCCCCTCAAGAGCCAGAAACACACTCGGAACCTCTCCGAGTTCTACACCAACGTCTTGTGGCCTGAGGAGCAGAGCCCCCGCAACGAGAGCGTCTTCTCTTATTTCCTGAAGTATCCGCTGCAATGGTCGGCCTTGCAGGGGCTGAGGATGGGCTTTGCCTTCGCGAGAGAGAGGGGGGCACAGGTGATGAATCTGAAGCAGACCAAGCTGATCTGTGAGCCGCTGGGAGGTGAGAAATGGATAGATGGGTGATCTATTGGGAAATTGTTGCATCTCTGCTGTCTCGTGTGTGTGCTGTGTCACGGTCCAGGGAAGATCGATCGGTATTCTCAGGGGGAATCGGCATTCGCATGGCGCCAAGCACAGGCATTCTGCTATCTCAGGTGGGCCTTCGTTCGTCACACATACATGCATACACACACATAACTCATTAATACGCGGCGTGTTGTGTCTCATCAATGACCAGGGTGTCGTGGGTTGACGTGTCCCGTCGGCGCGACTTCGAGAACCATTTTATCGCATACTTCCAGCACCCGCCATTCAGCCAATATGTGCTTGGCGGCTACATCAACTTCCTGCATCCTTCTCTGGGCAAGTACGAGGACCGATATTATGGCCATAACAAAGAGAAACTGAGAGTGAGTCAACATTTCAACACGGGAGAAGGGGATTGTGCGTATTGTGTGTGTCGTGTGTGGCTGGCGGGGACAGGAGGTTAAGGAGACGTATGACCCCGATTCGTTCTTCAACTTCCCTCTGGCCATCAGGAAGGCCGACGTGCCTCACTCCCGCCACCATAGACATGTCCACCGTCACCCTAATATCATGGACAACGGCGCGACCTACCGGCACATGACCACAGCAGGCGCCGTTTTCACCCTCGTGTCGGTCATGATTCTCTTCGGCAGCCTGGCCCTCTGTCTATACTGCGTCAAAAAAGAGGCCGAGTAAGCCGCAGTTGGGGAGCTTTCTTTTCTTTCATGTGTCTACATCATGATGTGTGTGTGTGTGTGTGTAAAGTCCCTCTTTCTCGGTCGCACAGAGCACCCAGCAAGCCGGCCAGCGTTTCATGCAGATGGTGGCCACACAGAACCGTGTCTCGCCCACGAGGTGGGGCAGGCCAGCTGAGGGCGGGAGGAAGGCGGGCAAGTCGTCGACCGATGGCCTAGTGTCGTACCAGCCGCTAGTGGGAGAGGGAGAGGTGCGAAGGGAGGGCGAGGGAGGCGTTGAGTTGGGGAAGGTGAGGAAAGGAGGCATGGGAGAGAGATGAGATGGGAGATGAGAGAGAGACGTGTGTCTGGATTACATGCTATTGGTGTGTCATCTTTGCCAATGGTCAAGCGTGTGTGTGACGGACATACCAATATCTCTTCACCATGTCTCGACGCACGCAACAGTCCATTCCCTACCGACATGACATCATCTCATCATTCAGTCCCCTCGATAGCTTCTTTTCTCTCTCCTCCTCCTCCTCCTCCTGTCTCCCCTCCAAGTGCACTCGGCCAGCGACCGACACAGGCCTCCCTGCCCTTCAGCAGGAGGGCTGTCGGGCGCCTGCCGGTAATACTGTACGCGTGTGTTCCTGCTGTTGCTGTCTGCAGATGCAACTCGGTGTTGGGATGGCGGCAAGGACGACCGCCATGTGTGTGGGGGATGGTGAGACACAATCGGGACATTGCGGGGAGACACTGTGGTGGTGTACTGGCGGAGAGGGGCACTGCCAGGGGCAGGCATAGGCAGCGCCAAGGGAGCCTGCATGCAACACATTCAGTGCGATCAAGCGGATGCCTTGTCAGCGTGGCTACGTCGCATCCATCATCCTTACTTCAATGTGTCGGGGAGAAGCAGAGCAGCTCCATGGCATGGGTGCTGGGGGCGGTGGGGCCTGACGAGCACCGGCAAGACGAACATGCGGGACGGCGTGGTGTGCCGGACGACCAGGCGATGTGGGCGGCGACGAAAGAGCAAGGATGCTCGCCTAAACACAGACAGGGTCTCCACCGTTGGCTGGCGTCGGTTTCTCTCACCTTAAGGCTTGCAAGTCTGTCTTTGCTCTCCTTCAGGTATGCAGCCAGCCTCTCGTCCACCTCACTCATCAAGGGTGACAGCAGAGAGGCGCGCGCCCAGCTTGCCTGCAGGCAGGAGCGGCATGGAGTGACGTCAATGGATTATGTCTCAGTGTGATGCACACCATTCGATTGACTATCTGCGCATGGATGGCATCGATTCGCTTCCACAGCACATCCAACCGGCTCTGCAGGTCTGCGTCTCTCATCTCGGGGGTCATGTCCTCCTCTCCCTCCAGCCTGATGCCCACACGCCCTCCCGTCGGCGTGAACGGCTCTGGCATACACAACAACAAGATGGCCCCCTTTTATGGATATCTTCCGTCGTACCTTCTTTCAGGCTCCCTCGAGATGCCAGCCTCTCCATTCTGCTGATCCTCTCCTGAATGAGCTCCTCTTCCCGTCTCCTCTTTTCTGCCTCGGCATGCCGCTTCTCGGCTTCCACATGCCTCTGAACACTCACCAGCTGCTGAGGCACCAACGAATGAGATATCCACTCGGCGTAGTCCAGCCCTGAAAGAAGAGAGAGCAAGCACAAGGGTGGGTGGGTGGATGAGTCCCTCAGATCTCTGCAGATCGGGGGTAGGCTTTGCTCACTCACCTTTGTCACTGCGGTGGTCCTCTGCGCTCAGCCATAGTCTGGTTATCTCGGCTTCTGTCATGGATGGCAGCAGCTTGCGAGTCGCCTTCACAAACTCAGCTTCCCGCACGCGGCCATCGTGATCCACATCCGCCGCACGATACAACGCCATCTGCAAGCCATGCACCCAACGGACAGAGTGCAGCATCCATGAGCAATGCATCCTTGTGAGCTCACGAGCTTCTTCGGACTCTCTCTGGACAGCCGCTCCTGCAGTGACGACAGCTTCCGACGAGTTTCAGCCGACAGACGGGGATCCAACTGAAATGCCCCACAGCAGCAGGGGCCGTGCATACACCCAAACAGAGCATCGTGAGGCGCTTCTTCTTCCCCTACCGACACATTCGATAGGGCCCTGCTGACCTCTCCGTCCGCTCTCCTCCTCCCTCTGACATGCTCGATGCCCTCCGGCTGTCTCTTCTTGCCGCCCGAGGCTCGACCGACGGGCGGCGCGGCTTGGGCGTAGGCTGTGTAGCTGTGACTCGGGCTCCTGACGCTCGTGGCACTGCTCCATGTTTCGCTTGGGGCCGTGCAGCACCACCTGGAGACTTCGGGCCTCTGGATGACGCCGGCCTTTTTGAGGACGCCCTCGCCTGCCGCTCCATCTTTTTCGGAGGCGAGATCGCAACGAAAATTGTCCCCTCTGCCCCCGGTAAACCCGCGGTTCGATTTAAGGACAAAAAGGCACAAGAAAAGCGAGCAGGATTCTCAATCAAAAGACAGGCACGAATGCTTTGAAACTCCCCTCAGCTTAACACACCGAGAAATCGACGCCATGAGCCGCCGGACAGTTCCGGAGAAGGCTGTGGGCGGCGGAAAGGGGTCTCCGGAGATGGACAAGTACTCCACCGAGGCCATCCTGGGCAGCCATTCCTTCGACAAGCTCGACAGTATCCTCCGAGTTGAGGGGCTCTCGAATGGCAGCCACGCGGGGGAACGCATTGTGGACGCCTCGAGAATCTCAAGGGAGCATCCCAAGCTGGCACGGCTGCTCAGCCAGACCTGGGGAGTGGCGCTCGAAGACCTTGCCAGTTTCTCATATCCTTACAAGTGAGCGTGTGGGAATTGAAGGACGGCCCCATGTTACGGTGCGCGTATGCGTGTGCGCGTGTCTGTGTCTTCATAGGTATGATCCGAATGAAGACAGTGTTCTCGGCTACCTGCGGGGAGTTTCGAAAATTCCAGACGCGACACACATCGGCGTGACCCGGCCAGGCCACACAGAGCCGCGGGCCAACCCCAACAAGCGTGCCGATGTCGAGACACTCCTCTCCAAGTAACTCCACACGAGATAGATTCATCTTCTCTCCTGTCCGGTGCCGTGAGGAACGCTTCTTTTTTCTTCCTATATAATGCAGCATTGGTTCTGATCTCACGGTCAATTTCCCTCCCGTCCGCCCCTCAGTGGCCCGGCGGGCCATCCCGACAAAGCTGGTCCGCAATGTCGCCACCGCCGACTTCGACACCGACTTCGACGTCAGCCCGTCCACCAAGGCGTCCAGTCCCTCTCGCCGCTCCGTGCGAGCCAGCCAATCGCGGCCAAACAAATCCAGTGGGGGGCACGATGGCGCCGATCCTGATGAAGACCAGGGCCATGGTGGACCACCAGAAGAACCACAAGAGGATGAAGAGAATGACACGCTGGGGGAAACAGGGGGCTCGGGACACACGAGGCAGAAGGAGAAGAAAGTGGAGAAGGCGCCTCCACCACCGCCGGCGAGCAGCGTGAATTTCAAGGGCTGCTGTCACGACTTCCCCGGAGTGTTAAACGAGTGTGCCCGCGAGGTCGAGGACTCGGAGCTGCCCTTCGTGCCGTTTTTATCGGAGGATATCGCCAACACCATCCGGACTGAGTGTCGGCTGCTGGGTGAGCTGAGGTGGAAGGGCAGTACCCAGCAGATAGAGGCCAGGAAGCAGAACGCCATCCACCCCAACCTCTTCAGCCGATTTGTCATCCTCAAGAAGCACCTGATGTGGGCAGGCAGGCAAAGACAGAGGGGGGAGACAGACAGAGATGCGTCCGTCCGTCCGTTGTGTGGTCTGGTCTGGTGCAGGACCAACTCTTGCGTCAGTCCGGTGTACTTTATTCGGCTGGGCAGTGTGCACCCCGAGCGGCAAGTCAAGCTTGCGGTGGGCCAACACGTGTGCCTGCGGCTCTACGGGTCATGGAATCGATGGGCACAGAGGCTCTACACCCCCATCTACGCACATGGGAGGTACGCATGCATTGCATGGTTGATCAGTATCTAGAGACGCAGGCAGCGTCTGCATGCTTTTCGCGCGTCACTTCTGAATGAATGGTCAGCACGATCGAGCTGTTGGTCAAGATTCAGCCTGAGGGCGAGGTCACTCCCCGAATGGAGCTGCTCCAGCCGGGCGACTCCGTCCAACTCAGAGGTACGTGCAATCAGTCCTCCCTGTGCGCCTCCATAGCATTTGCCGCGACTGTGATTCAGGTCCGCTGGGTGTGGATATCTTGCCTCTCGTCCATAGCGGCACCGACCCTGCGGCATCGGCCATCACGCCACGCCCCGACCGGCCACTCAGGGCACGGAGCCCATTCAGACCGTGGAGACAATTTGTCATGGTGGGCATGGCATGCACGAGACAGCGTGGAACGGCTTGCAGAAAACGGTCTTTTGCCGTCTGTCTTGTGCAGGTGTGTGCGGGAACGGGCATCACGCCAATGGTGCAGCTGCTGCAGTATGTTCTCATCCACTGGAACCTCCCCAAGCGCGACCGCCCCTCGGTCATCCGCCGTCTGCCACGGGAGGACCACCCCAGCGGCCTCGAGAAGGCCTTCGAGCGCATGATCCTGAGCGACCCGATGCCGCGAGCATGCCCTGTCAAGGATGTCTCCCGTGAGGATGGCGAGCTCCCCGTGTTCCACGAGCAGGCGAGCGGCGAGCAGTATGACGAGTGCATCGAGGACACCCCGATGCAGTCGTGCTCCTGGGATGCGGCCGATTTGGGTTACCACACGTCGATTGTGCTGTTGACGGTGAACGACACTGAGGAGGATGTGATACTGCGAAAGGAATTCACCGCGCTGGAGCACCTCTATCGGTAAGGAAAGAGGCCAATCCCGCACCGCTAAGAAAGACACAGAGAGTCATGCTCATTGTCCTGCTGGTTGGCTGTCCATTCTTGGTTCCTGCCTGCCTATCTATCTATAGGACGCTGTGCGTGAGGCACTACGTGTCGTACGTCAAGAAGGAGGCCAAAGCGGCGCGGCCGTCGTCAAAGCCCCACACCCCCATGCCCGAGGAGCGAGTGGAGGCGCGTATGCAGCAGATGAACGACTACCAGTACCAGCCACTGAGCAGCAAAGTCATGGAGGAGACCGTTCAGCTGCTCACCGCCAGGTCCGGGCAGCCGGGCGTCACCGATCCCAATCTCGACAGGTGACTAAGAGAGCAGGAAGGATTGCATAAAACGGCTCGCAGAGGCCGTTTTGTTGTCTGCACAGGATGTTTATCTGCGGCCCCAAGAGTTTCCAGAACTACGCTCTGCAGGTGCTGGGCACTTGTGGGGCCACCGTCAACCCAGAGTGCGTGTGGATGCTCTAGTCAATGAATGGTTGATGCGAACATTGCTATGCCAGTGTTGCCAAACACATGGCTGGCCCCCCGGGACAGCATAGCCTTTGTTGTTGTTAGTCTCTCTCTCTGTCCGCGTCTTTTGCTTGTCACTTCACACAAGAAGAGACAGCTGTACACCCGGGCTGTCTCCTCGTTGCCCCATCTGCCGGCAGTTTGGCGAGCCAAGCGATTGTATGGTGGTGTGGTGGCCACAGTCACTGCGGACTCTAGCACATCGATCTTTTGCCCATACACAACACACATACGCGACAAGCGAGTGTGACAGAGGGACGGCGGGGCTGTTTTTTTATGCATTCGTTGTGTCGCCCGCCTTTTTTGGCGGTCATCTTTGCGAGTGACGCGTCGAAGCCGCGGCGACGGAAGGATGGGCACGTTGTATGGGCAGCCCAACCACTGTCTGCGTACTAGTGTGTGTGTGTGTGACTGTGTGTCAGACCCCTTGATGCCTCCCTCCTTCCATGTCAATAAACCATTCACTTGGGTCACCCAGACACACCATCCCACGCACCATTACTACTTGCTGCACACGCCGCCCACGCCACAGGACGTCAGGGCGAGCTCAGCCAGGGCGTCGTCATCTTCAGCACCCACACCATGGCCATTGGCACCATCTGCAGCAGCTGGTGTCTGCCTATCATAGGCCAGGTCGTGTGCAGGCAGCCGAGAGCCGTTAGTGGACGTCTCTGCTTGGGTGTGGTTCTTGTAGAGCGACGCTGCCAGGGCGTCGATGTCATTGGTACGGCCGCTGTCAGTGTCATCCTCACCACCAGCAGCACTGCTCGTCGTCTGAGAAGGCGCGGCTGCCGTGTCCCTTGCTTGTGGTTGGTGTGTGGCCTTGTTGGTCACTGTGCTGACCGACATCAGGGGCTTCAACGCCTGAAGGAAGGCGAGCAACACAATACAAAACAAGGCACACACACACAGACAGGGAGAGAGGCAATGGGTTCTGTCTGTCTGTCTGTCTGTGTGACCTGCATGAGGCTGTTGAACAGGTTGGGCAGCTCATACTCTTGCTGTGACAGCAGCACCTTGATGCGATGACGCTGCATGGAATCAATGGATGGCCGTATGAGCCAGCACACACACACACGGGGCGTGTGGATGCACTGCACTCATCTGCTGTGCTGGTGGGGCGTTAACAGACTAGCTAGACTGGCGCACCTACCTCCTTTGGGGCGGCGAAGCATGCCGGGCAGTTGTCAGTGATGACGGGCAGCTTGTTGGCCGCGGCGAACTCGGCCGTGGCGCTTTCCCTGGCGTACACCAATGGCCGACACACACGCAGCGGCGCCCCGTCGGATTGTGTGGTGTAGTGGGCCTTCATGGTGTTAAGAGTGCCGTTGTTGAAGGCCGACATGACGAACGACTCGGCCACATCGTCGAGGTGCTGCCCCAGGCACAGCACACTGTAGCCGTGCTGCTTCATGCACGAGTAGAGCAGGCCGCGCTTCAGCCGCGCGCAGAAGGCACAGATGGACACCCGCTTGGCCGACATGTGGGTGCGCGCCAACTCAATGATCGGGAAACTCAGCAAATGGTACGGCACACCTGAGGTCAGTGAGACACACACAGAGAGAACACGTGTGTGTGTGTGTGTGTGTGTGGATGTCATGTGGTCGCACCGAGTGATTTGAGGTAAGGTATGAGCGATCTTGGGTTGTACTCGGGCGTCTGGGGGTCCACAGTCGCCGCAGCGATCTCAAACCGGATGGGCGCACGTCGCTGACACTCCTGCACACACACGCACACACAAAGTCATACACGCATGCACACACGAGGAGAGAGACCTCTCCCCCTCGGCTCACTCACTCACCATGAGTATGTGGAGCATGGTGAGGGAGTCCTTGCCGCCCGACAGCCCCACAAGCAGCCGGTCGCCATCGCGAATCATGTCGAAATCCCTTATCGCAGAACCCACGCGACGCCGAAGAGCCGCTGACACCTTCAGCGCACTTGGTGCCGAGGGGGGGGCTGCCGGCGGCTCGGGTGTTCCTTCCGTGTCGATGGGAGTATGGTCAATGTCGCCATCCACTGCAGCTGCTGGTGCTGCATGGGGTGGTGTTGCTTGTGGGCGGGGTGGTGTGGCTGTGCCGTTTGTAGTCGTCTGTTGGTGTTGTTGTGTCCGGCTTCCTGCTCTCACTTGGAAACACGACACGCGCGGCCGTGACCGGTCGGCCGACGAGGGCCTGAAAGCCGATGTGGATGTGGCGAAGAGCAGGCTCCTAGACGCCTCCCCACCCACAGTGGCGCCCTCCTGGCCCCTCCTGACCGCCTCAGCAGCATCGGCAGGCATCGCGAACCACAGCAGCGGGGCCGTCTCTTCAGGAAGGGGCGGGCACCTGACCTGGGAGAGGGGGAGGGTGGTCTCGCCCTCGTGCAGCGAGTCCACTACCTCGTCCGCCCTAGTGACCAGCTCGTCAAGGGCCGGCGCTGGGTGGTCGCCATCGATCTGTGCGCGCGCCTTGGTGCCGGCATGAGAGAGGTGGAATGTCGAGAGCCACTGCCGCGTGTGGTGGGGCTTGTGTAGGCGGTGCTCCCACTCGCCGGTCTCGGGGACGAATGTGTAAGCCGTTAGCATTCGCCACCCCTTGTCGGCGACCCACTCCACCGCCGTCGCCATGGCGTCCACCTGCTGGTCGGTCATGGTGAAGTGCACACCCACTCGCACGAAGCCTGGTCGGAGCACCTCCTGGCCCGTGTGGTGCAGCAAGGACATGAACTCGGCTGTGAGGGCCTCGGAGAGACCGAGCAGGTACTGGGCATAGGGGCCGGCGCACGCACACCCGCCGCGGGCCTGCACACACACACACACACATTTTCAGACAGACAGACAGACAGACAGAGAGACAGGTGCGGGCCGATGTGTGTGTGTGGTGTGTGTGGGGTGGCGGTCACCTGGATGCCGAAGAGGTCGTTGAGGAGGGCCACGACAAAGTGGTAGTGGAGGTAGAGGCCGCTGCCGCTCGTCCATACGGCTGTGCCACCACAAGGAGGGTACTGCACCATGAAGGACAGGATCCCCACCCGACCGCCCTCGTCGTATGGACCGTCGCCGAGCATGTGGATCCTGCACCACACACATCCATTCACCGATGTGTGTGTGTGTCTGTTGGGCCACCCACCGTGGGTGCTTGGACCATCGCTGCTGCAGCCGTTGTGCGAGGATGGCCTCCCTCCTCTGTATGAGCTGTGTGGGAAGGAGTGAGTGTAGGCGGTACACCAGGCCAGCCCGGATGCAGCCCACCACGTCGGGCGTCCCAGCCTCCTCCCTCTCCTCAGCATTCTGACTCCCACATACATACACACACGCAGCCTCACATCGATGGGGCGATTGGTGTGTCGGTGTGTGTATTTGTGTGTGTACCTCGATGTAAGTGTGGCCTTCACTGCTGACGAAGAAGACGACTCCTCCGCCGGGCTCGGCCGGCACCCAATTCTGAAGCAGGCGCTTCTTGGCCAACAACACACCTGGTGTGGCGGGTCCTCCCAGCAATTTGTGTGGCGACAGGAAGGCCACGTCCATGTGGCTGCTGGGCCGGTCAGGAGGGTTCATGTCAACACGCGCATGGCCAGCCACAGCCGCACAGTCCACACAGGATATCGCCTGCACCAGGCGCACAGAGCAGATGGACACAAACACACGATTTATCCATCCCGTCTTCCTCTCCCCTCTCACTCGGTATCGGTGGAGCATTGCCGTGAGTGCGTCGATGTCCGGCACAACGCCCGTCACATTGGATGCACTGGTCAGCAGCCCCACAGGCAGGATGCGCCACCCACCGTCCAGCCCACGCCACACGTCAATCTCTCTCAACACCTCCTCCAGATGGCCCACAGACACCGCACCTGTCCCCTCGTCGATCTCAATATTGACCAGCCCCATGTGCAGACCAACACCACCACTCCCACTGTCGTCACCATTCGCCGCCTGTCGGTCTCCCTGGGTGTATGGGAAGGCCGGATGTGACTTGAGCAGTTCTCTGAAGGGCAGTGACCACGAGTGGTGCGCTGTGGGATCGGTCAGGAAGACGACAGCCCGGCGAGAAGGGCCTGCGAGAGAGGGGGAGGGAGACGAGGGGCCGGGTCTGAGTTTCGCTTGATGGCCTTCAGAGTGCTGGTGGGCGCGATAGAGAGCCTCGTTCTTGAGTCGAATGCCGCACAGAGTGCACTCACAGGCGCCCCAACGGTCCTCTCGGAAATACCCGTCACGCACAGCTGTCAGCCATTCATATGACGCACAATCCATTAGATGATGGAGAGGCTCGTCCATCCACGCAACGAAACGCACCTCCAGCTGCCGTCGCGTCGCGGATCTGTGCGTCCGGTGCTCTTGCGAGGTCACCGACGGCCCAGCCGCACCGCTCCATGATGGCCACGAACTTGGATATCGCACCCTGTGGATGCATCCACCAGCAGGGCATTCCGACACAAACAATGGCCATCAATGGGTGGGTGGCGTCATGCTCACCGTGACCCCTGTGCCGGCGAATATGAGAGCATCCTCGTGGTTGGCATTCACGTACTGCTTGATGATCTGTCGCGCCTGCAACACACAAACACGCCCACATATGATGAGAGATATGCAGAGATTGTGTGAATGCGCCCTTGGTGCGATACCTCAGATCTGAAGTAAGTCGACTGTCTGGCTGTTGACGTGGTCAGGGTGTGCGTGTTACCGTAGAGAGGCAACACCTGCACCCACGGACAGGCAGACAGATTAGCGCAGAGGCAGGGACTAACGCTCAGTGCTGCAGCGGTACCTCTGTTCTGATGAAGTCCTCAATGCTCTCCAGGCTTCGCCCAGAGGCAGTGAAGTCAGCATACAGCAATCGACGGCTCCCTGACAACACCCACAACCACCCCCACATCAACGCACAAGCCACCATATATGGCAGCGTCGTGATTCTGATCTGTTGTGTACCGAATGGTGTCTTGATGACTGCATTCTCTCCGATGATCTGTCGCCTCAGGCCCTCACACACATCGTCGAACGAGGCGTCATCGAACTGGTGGCTTGTCGGCGTTCCACCGTCATGCTTCGATGAGTGACCCTTGTCAAAAACGTAGCGGACAGGCATGCTGGTCTCCTTTGCCGCGTCGCTTTCTTGTTTCCCTTCGGCTTAGCTCGCAACACGTAACCGGGATTGAACCGATGCATTCGGAGAGGTCTGGCGCAGATTTGTGCCTCATCTGATCAGCAGAGCGACACCTGCTGAGCTGAAAGCTAACTGCACTGAAGAGAATGACCCTTAGCGCACATTCAATCTTAGAGATGGCTTTCGGCCATTGCCTCTTCTTCAAAAAGTGCCCTCTCCGCACCTTATCGACACACACACGCCCCCCACACACACGATGCATCACAGACATCCATCGCATCCACCTATCCTGGCCGCACTATCGTCCCGGAAGGTCGGAGATCTTCTCCCCTCTGAGCACACGGCTACCCATCGTCGGTCGGGCAGTTGTAACCCTCACAATTGCCGCGCGTGGCCGTCGCCATGGCCATCATCGAGCTGGTTTGGAGCGTTTTCATGCTCGGCCTTAGCTATCTGGTCAACCATGTTGCGGTGGCTGCGGTCTGCGGCATTGTAGCCGCCATCGGGCGACACATCTTCCCCGCGCTGCGTTGCGGCAAAAACATCCTCTTGTTGGTCTTCCGGCTGGCATGTTTTTGCCGCAGCAGTCACCACCACAGTGATCAGCCATGGCGTCAAACTCGCCCAAAGCCTCATCCCGTCCCTCCTTATAGGCATGGTTCTGTGGACAGTGGCATTCGCCATCGCGTGCGTCATGTACAGAAGTCATTTGACCGGCGGCATGGTCGGCGCCGCGAAGATCAGCACCGTACCGGCGGTTCTGCAATTTTTGGATTACAAATGTAGCATCCGGTGCGCGTGATGGAGGGTGGCCATGGAGGGGCAGACACACGGCATTTAATCCAATCTTCCGTGCACGTGCGTCAGGATATCGATGACCTGGTGGAAGGAGCTCAGGGATACGTTGGTGGAGAACTACGAGAATGGGTTGGTGGAGGAAGACGTGTACGGGTGGTTGAAGAACTACTTCGATGAGAACATAGAGCTGCTGACTGGCATGCAGCAATGGACTGCAGAGGCGCGGGCGAGTCTCACGGAACGCATGGGAGCCATCTGGCGTGTCGGCGTGTCGGCGATTGCATTGGCATGAGTGCATTGAAGACACAATTGACGGCGTAACGCGATGAATCATAGAGACAGCTGGAGAGACGTGTTTGTCGATATCGGTAAGTCAGTCAGTGTGTTAGCAATCAATGCTGGCCGGCTGGCTGTCGTGTGTCGGCTGGCCTTGCCCACCTTGATGTGTGCGTGTGCGTACCTGCGTGCAGTTTTTGTTGTGGGTTTCCCTCCTCCTTCCTCTTACCGTTACCCCAATTTTTCCCTGCCTGCTTGGTCGGTTGTCTTTTTCCTGTGGTCAGTCAGTCGCGTGTGTATGATCGATGAATGCATGTAATTGAGATATATAATGATCAAGCGTGTTAGGTAGGACGTCCGGTCAGTTCGGTGTGTGTGTCTAGGAGTGAGTGAGTGGGGCTATTTCGGTGGAATTGAGGGAGGTTGTTTGTATTGTGTGCGTAGCCTCTAATTGACCGAACTGACCCTGCGTGTTGTGGGTTGATATCAATCTCGCACGAAAGTCGTGTCAATTCCTCGCTGGCTGACTTCAATGCACTCACGTGATTCATTGAATGGTCATTGATTGATTCATCCAATCATCGGCCGTGCTGCGTTATGTGTTCGTGTCCCTCTCATTGTCTGTCGGTCGGTCTGTCCGTGGCCCTCACTCTCACTCTCACTCTCACCCATCATTGCATCTGTGGAATGTTGAGGGGCCGCATGAAGGTCGACGCGGCCTCCATCAACTCACGCTGACGCAAAATGGACATCACACCGATGAGAACACAACACACAGACATGACATGTGTGTGTCTGTGTGTGCACCACCTCGAGTTGTCTGATGGTTTTCATTTTGGCCTCGTTCTTTCCCCTCTTCTCAGCTTCGATCTCACCCAAACGAATCTATCAAACACACACACAGAGACATGGGCAGTCGGTGTGTTTCGTGTGTCATGTGTCATCATGATTGGTTTGACCTCTCGTTGTTCTGTTTTGATTTGCTGTTGTGTCATTGGGATGGGCGGCGGCAGACTCTTGACGCGGGCCAACTGGGCGCGCAAGTAGCGGTCCTCACCTGACCACACACGAGACACACACACATGCAGCAGATGTGTCAGTGTGATCTGCGATGTGTGTGTGTGTGTGTACGTCTGTTGCAGTTTGCCTCGAGTTCGCTCTCCTCTGCGTCGGCCACGCCACTCTACACAATCACACACACAATCACAGACAGACACCGATGGATGGTCTGCGTGTGTCTGTGTGTGTGTGTCTTTCATACGATTGTCTGTCGAGTGCGGGCCTCTTCCTCTCGGTCGTCGCGCAGCGCCTCGCGCAACTCATCGGCCTACAAAGACAAAGGCATGTATGCCACATACAGCGAGACACACACACACAAGCAGAGAGTCAGCGTCTCTGAGTGTCTGTCTGCTGTTGATCCACACGCATGAGCTGACGTGAATTTTGTCGAGGACGTCCTCATCGTCATTGTGATTGTTGCCTTTGTGTGTGGTCGGTGTGAGTGCCTCTCCCCCGCCGCACAAAAACAGCAGCAGCAAAGCCACACCCGAGGCAGTCACGCAACGCATCATGGTGGACAGATGGATGGATGGAAATTGACGAGCGACTGACTGACTGCGGCCGATTGGATCGCAATACTCATTGATTCAATCTGTACGTACGTACGTACACGTACGCGTATACATTGACACGTACGTACGTTTGTTGGACAGACATGTCTGTCGAGCATGTAGCCAGCAGTGGATCGAAGAGTCTGTACAATTCAGCAAACCAATGCACTTATGTGTATCGACAATCAGGCAGCTGGCTGGCTGGCTGGCTGGCTACTCAATATATAAATATTAATTTGGCCTCACACCCTCCCCGGCTCGATCGATCCTTCCGGCCTCACTCACTGCTTCTTGGTCATCTCGATAGTGAATGTGCGTGAGTTGTCCCCCTCTGTCCCATTGCCATCTGGGATGGGCAGACGCACACCGTAGTACTGCATGCACCGCCGTACACACTGCAGCAGCGCCCTGTCTGCCTCGCCCCCTGCCGGCGGAAGCCGCACGCACAGATTCACCTCGTCGGGCATCAGCAACAGAGTCAGATCGAACAGCGACTTCAGGCTCGCTGCCATCATGACGTTCCGCCGCTCGAAGGTCAGCTTCTTGACGGGCGGGGCGAGCGGCGGGGCCAGCACCAGAGGGGGCAGCTCCACGGGCAGAAGCTGACCGGAGATCTCCACACGCTGCAGCGGGGCCGTCCGATCCTAAAGCGCCAGATTACACACAGGTACGGACACACACGATGTCTGTAAGCTGAGTGGCTGGCTGACTGACCCTGAGGTATCGCAGACACTCTGGTGTGGCGGATGGGGCCATGTGAAAGAGATGCAGGCGATCTAGTGAGGCCAATGACGTCACGATGCGGCTCAGGGGGTGGGGCGGGGCGGCAATGACGCTGGGGCCGAGTATCGTCATGCCGACGCCGGCGAGGGTGAGCTTCTTAACGTTTGGGTAGCGCCCCGGCTGTGTGAGGAAGTCAGGGATGCTGCTGAAGTTGTCGTCGTGCAGGTGGAGCACCCCAATCGGATGGCGGTTGAAGGTCACTGCAAAGCTCACAGCGCCGCTACATGGGGGCAGGAAGCTCCACCTCTGACACATACATCGAACAACACACACACACACAGCGGAATGGATGCATGGCTGGCGGCACACATGAATGGCTCAGTCGTGCTGGCTGGTAGGTAGACTACCTGAGGCAGCGGGACGCCCCCATAGGCGATCATCACTGACAGACAGACAACAGACAGACAGACAGACACACAGACAGAAGGACAGAAGGACACGCACTCCTTCATGCTTGTCGGCATTCTGCTTCTTCATACCAGTTTTGGATTCGGCGGCAAATCCCTCAGCCATCCTCCGGACGATCGGATGGAGAGGCGGCGGGTCTACGGCGCTGTTCTGGGGCTCAACGCAGTCCAATGTGAAGCTGCAACGGACACAGATACATCGCCCCGAAGAATGAATGCTCTGCAATGCTCTGCGCTGCACGTACCAGTTGTCGAAGCTGTACGCCATCTCACATCCAATTGCCTCCAGCTGCTCAATGAACCCGACAGCTGCATATGGACACACACACACACACACACGCAACACACACACACAGACACAGACACAGACACAGAGGAAGAGAGAGTGAGAGAAGGGGGACTCGTGTCGGTTGGTTCGTCTCCTCTCCTCACCGCTCAGCCCGTGTGGCCCGGCGGTGCTCGTCAGCAGGCCAGGCATCCGCTCGTTGACAGACAAGTCATACGACAGGGTCAGCTTTTTCTTCCTCCTATCGTTCCTGCGGCCCCACAGCTGCCGCAGCACCAAAATGAAGGGATGCAGCGCATCGAAGGGTGCGTCGGGGTGCGACAGGTTGCCTTGAATGCGGATCCAGTCGAGCATGGTCAGGTGCGTCATGCTCACAAGGAGCGGGAAGGAATGCGGCAGCCGCCGGGGGTCTGCCGACACACAGACAGACAGACAGACCGACCGACAGGAAGTGACGAAGGGTACTGGTGTGTATTCTGTGTGGATGGGTGGAGCCTAACATGGCGTGAAAGGGTAGATGTTGAGCCGCTGCAGCTTCTTGGATGTGTTGAGGAAGTGCGCCAGCGGCTGGTCGATGAACGACTCGGTAAAGCGGTCGAGCGCGTAGCTGTCCCCCTTGCCGTCTGAGCCGTAGTACATGTCGCCCTCCAACTCAATCAACTGGGGCCTGCACACAAACACCCACACACACACACACCCTCAGAACTGCATCCCCCTTTTCTGTCAGAGCTGCATTGCATACCACTCGAACCCCTCGGTGACCATGCGCACGAAGTACCGCAGGCTGTCCACACGCAGCTTCTTGATGTGGGGAAACACAATGCGGTCAGCAGGGGGCGTCACAGCAGGCGGGCTGCCGATCTCCTGCCCCTCAGCGGGGAACTTCTCGCTCTCCATGCCGTCGAATCGAGTGATGACCAGCTTCTGCAGGACGGCGGGCGACCGGCGGATGGCGGCGATGACCATCTCATTGACGGGCCACTCGTTGGGATCCATTTTGACCACGATGCTCTGGTGGTGCGTGCGCTCCAGCCGACTTCGGACGTGGGGGGGCAGGTCCCAGAAGATGTGCTTGTCGATGTAGAGATGGCTGTAGAGGGATGACGCTCCGCCGGCCCGCTGATGGTGCGGCTTCATGATGTCGGTAGACGGCTCGCCGGTGACGCACGTGCAGAAGTGTCGGGACACCTCTGAGAGCTGCTTGGTGCCGTCAGTGGTCGTGAAGAAGGAGCCGGCGTAGGACAACACCTCGTTGGGCATAGAGCGGAAGCCAGTGAACGGCACCTGCGTGGAGGAATGGACGGACGTGACAATGACAGGCATGACAGTGACGACAGATCTGTCCGTCTGCTTTTCTGTGTGTCTGCTTACCATCTCGTCCGTCGAGGCAGCAGGCGATTCCTGATCTGGCGATGGATCCATTGTGGGGAGAACAAGTGATGACTGTGTTCTCAGCAACACTTCGAAGAAAACTATTTCGCCGATTTCGGATTTGCGAGCCCACGAGTGCGAGCTTGGCTCAAGAATTGAGTCATGTGTGTGTGTGTGTGCGTTTTCAAAAACAGCACTGTAGGCCGTAGATTCAATTTCGTCGCGCCCGCAGCTGACGTTCTCGCCATCCTCTGCGGGGGCATCGACAGCTGACATCAACACTGTGACAGTTGTTGCTGAGAGCGAAGCAGCCGCATCGCATCTGGGCGAGCAGCACCGCGGCACCAGCCCCTCTGATCTTCTGATCTTCTGGCTCATCGATCAGATTCTCCCTTTGTCTGACGATGGACCGTGCCATGGCAGGGAAGCGGCACGAGCCAGATGATCCAGATCCCGCATCGTCACTGCTTGATTGGATATTCGATGACGACGATGACGCGCAAGCACAGCCTGCGGCGAAAAGGGCCAGGACGGGCGAAGGTGAGGGTGAGGGTGAGGGTGTCGGCGGTAGCAACAATGGGGCGGAGAGCGATGGGAGTGTGACTGAGAGGGGTGACAATGACAACAATGGTGACGGTGACAACTGGTGGATGCTGGATGACGACCCGCTACAGCAGAATAGGTGAGGGGGGCGGGAGGGAAATTGCAGCATCTCTTTGATGTGGTGTGCATGTGTGTGTGTGTGTGTGTGTGTTGGTTTCTTCAGCGAGGGGGATGAGGTCGCTGGAGATGTTAACGGCATGGACGCAGAGGGCCAGGACCTAGCCACACGTACTGTACACCCAAGCCAATCACCACACATCACATCACACGACAGACCTGCACTGCACTGATTGCCAAGTGACTTCTGATATCTTCCCTTCCCTCCGCATATATCAGCCCCCGACCCCCTGGCAGCCCTTCCTAATGACTGGAGCTCGGCCGTCGGCAACCCACTTCGCCCATTCCAGCTGCAGCAGGAGGAACTCGCCACACAGCGGGCAAAGCACCAGGCGGACAGGGCGAAGCGCAAGCAGCACATGGCTGCGGTAAGTAAGGATGGCCGTAGGAGAGAGGGGATCTACAGGTGACGCTCCTGAGTGAGGCCGTCTATGTGTGTGTTGTGTGGTGCAGGTGGGCAGGTCTGCTGCTGCGGCGATAGAGATCGAGGACTCTGACTGCGAAGGGCAGGACAGTGATGGGGCTAACAAGGGGCAGGTGAGCGATTGCTTGCACTGCACCGGTGGGTGCGCGTCATGGGTATGTCCGTCTGTGTGTGTGTGTGCAGGCGATAGCAGCGGCAGATGCCGATAGTGAGCTGATGAGAATGGTGTCGTCGTCGACACTCGTCGCGTTCGGCAACCCGCACCCTGCGGTTCTTGCAGAGGTGACACCACACACACACACATGGACAGAAGGAAGGAGAGAGAAAGAGATGAACGTCATGCGACGAGTGTTTGTTGTCGATGCCAGTCAGCGACGCTGAATGCGGTCAAGCTGCCCCCCCTCCACCCAAGCCAAGAGATCTTCATACCAAAGTACGCAGTACCCCCACACACCATACGCGCGTCTGTGCGTATGTCTTGTGTCTTGTGTCTTGTGTCTTGTGTCTTGCGTCTTGCGTGTGTGTCCATTAGGTGGGTGATAGACCACGGCCTGCTGTCTAGCACTCAGCTGGAGTCGTTCATATGCGCATGCCGCCGATCGGACAAAGTACTTACTTCTGCACGCACCCTCCCCCCGCCCCTCTCTCCATACTCTCTCTGTGTGCAGTTGCTGCCGTCTGGCATGCGGGCTGCGTATGTGTTGGGTGACGGCACCGGCAGCGGCAAAGGGCGCGGACTCGCCGCATTCCTCGGACACGTCAACAACAAATCGGTACGCAGCTGCATGCGGTTTCTCTGTCCATGGGCATCTGTCGGGGTGTGTGTGTGTGTGTGTGTAGGGGCTGAGGCACAACAAGCGTCACGTGTGGTTCAGCATCAGCCCGGACCTCAAGATGGACGCAGAACGGGACATCAGTATGTGTGTACCAATGGCACAAAACACCACACACACAAACACACGTGATCCGCTCTTTGCTGCTTGTTATCCATCCATGTCTGTCTGCAGAGGATCTGCGCATCGGCCTGAAGATGGCCACAATGACGGGTGGGTGGACGCATTGACACGACAGACACGCACCCCAACACAGATGCACCATCAGTGTGTGTCGTGTCCTCAGGCATGCGCTTCGAGTCGATGCGTCGCGGCACCAACAGGAGCCTCCTGCAGGACCAGCTCGGCAGCAGTACGGCCGCACACACACACACACACACACACTCGTGCAACAAGCCGTGCACCTCTCCGTGTGTGTGTGTGTGTGTGGGTGGTCAGGTGATGGTGTGCTCTTCTCGACCTACGCGATGCTGGTGGGCTACGACAGCAGAAGCGCTAAGAAGCCCAAAGAGGAGCTCAGAATCGACATTCTCAACGGACACACAGCCACACTAAAAGACCCAGAGTAAACACACACACACACACACACACAAAACACACATAAGCAGAGAGAGAGGACGCCTTTGTGAACCCCCCTCTGTGTGTGTATGTGTGTGTGCAGGTTGACGCGCGTCGGCATGATATACGAGTGGCTGGGCGGTGCTGACGCCGAGGGCGCCATCATCTTCGACGAATCCCACAAGGCCAAAGACATCGTACGCACTAAACGCACCCCCCGCACGTGTGCATCTGTCTGTGTGCATGTGTGTGTGCAGGCGCCGTACTTGCGCAAGAGTGGTGCCGGCAGTGAGCACGACCGCGGCAGGAGGGAGCGGCCCCCTGCCAGCTCCATGACGTCTGTCGTCGCATGCAAGCTGCAGGCAAGACAGACAGACAGACAGACGGGCAGATGGGCGGATACCCCACACACCAGTGTGCCCATCCATGTGTGTGTCCATCCATCCATGTGTGTGTGTGTGTGTCTGTAGGAGATGTGTGCGAAGGCTCATGTGATCTACGCGTCAGCCACGGCGGCGAGCGAGCTGATGAACCTCGGCTACATGCTCAGACTCGGACTCTGGGGTGGGTGGGCGAGAGAGATGGAGAGAGATGGAGAGAAAGAATTCGCGGCACCCTGCCTGCCTGCATGGGTGTGGGTGCGAGCCATTTAGGTCCTGGCACACCGTACGAGAGCCTAGCGATGCTGCACAAGAGCATCAGCCACAATGCTGTCTCAGGCATGGTGCGTGGGGTGGGTGGGTGGCACCGGCAACCACACACACGCACACACGCCAATCGCAATCCCACCATGGCCTTCCGATGGTGTTAGTTGTGCGTGTGGTTCTGTGTGTGCAGGAGTGTCTGACGATCAACATGAAGTGTCAGGGTATGCTGTCGTCACGCACAATCTCCTACAAAGGATGCTCCTTCGATGTGCTCAAGGTCAGCCAAACACACAAAGACACAGACACACACACACACACACACATACACACACACACGAGAGAGAGAGAGAGAGAGAGGGGTATATGTGTGTGTGTGTGTGTGTGTGTGTGAGTCTAGGTGCCGCACGACGGCGAGTTCACGCGGCTGTACGCCCGCTGCTGCAGCTTCTGGCAGGAGATGTAGTAAGCCGACCCACACCACAAAGTGGTTTCGATTGAGCATGTGCGTACTCGTCTGTCTGTGTGGATGTCAGTTTCCTGATGTGCATGGTGACGGATAGCGACTCGCCTGTCCACTGGCACGATGGCAAGGACAGGGACAGACGGTAACCCCCCCC